AAAATTTCAGCTCTCTATCTCAAGAAAAAGTATTAAAACTATCATTAACAATTTGGGATCAGAACTTAGGGAACACCCTTTATATCGTTAAAACTAAAACGTTATAAATCACTATTTCTTAAACTGATTGATTCTTACATGAAGAAACAAGAACACCCGCAATTTTTATTCAGTAGACAAAAGTTTAAGACACTTTTAGTGCTTTTTCTTTTTATCATTATTGAGCGGCTGGGTGCGGAACTGAATGTGAATGCAAATATTATATACATGTTCCACTCACATCCAAACCAACACTCACGCCCACACCCGCATTTATTCGTCTACGCTCTCACCGGTACAAACACGCATCCTACTTTTAATTGTGTTTCTGTGGTATAATGATGTGTGTCGGAGATTATTATTCTCTATATATGAAGTTCCAATCTCAGTAGGAACTCTTTTCATGTTTTTTTTCGTTAGTTTTTTCATTCATTACCGATACATTCGCTGCAAATAATACTAAAGCAGGCCTATCGTACTATTAGCTGCACTTACTTGTTTAGATAGTACAGCCAATAGAGAAGCAAGCTTTTCTTCATTAAGTGCAGCTAGCTTATTTCTTATGACATTTTACACTTAACTTTTACGAAGTGAGTACTTACATGCAGTTGAAAGTGAATGAAAATCGAACCTGCACTCTTAATATCAAGTTGCTTTTATAGAACGAGAAAAGAGAATATCATTGTAGAATAGATCAAAGAAAAGAAAAAAATGTGAATCATGGTTCCTTTCCGAGTGACATAAGAAAAAGGGCACATATAAAAATGACGTAAAGAAAGCAGATTAAAAAGTGTGTTATACTTCCTTTTTGCGTCAGATAAGAAAAATAATTTTGCGCCGAATGGAGTTATTTCCAACACAGATTATCGATCGAAGAATGACGTTTTGATATGAAATATGGAGTATTTAAAGGCTTTTCACCGATATTTCGATCTAATATTTGTTTGATGACTTGTGCTGCACGTCTTAAGATTATACTAGTTATAGAATTTACTGGTGCTTTGAATAATGTTATTTTCAATTTGGGTCACTGCTTGAAAAATGCAGTTTCATCAGACTGAATGGTTTATTCAAGGGTTCTGGCTATTATCTGGACTTGGCATACTTTCAGTGACTTGTGTTCCCTCACTAGAAGACTGTACTAGGTTCAGAATTTAATTTCTGCGCCTAAGAGTGAGTGTGGCAGTGGTTACTGCCGACAGATATGAGTGAAGCATGTGTGTGGATATGCGTGTGAGAAGAATTTAGTAGCGATACTCATATTCATGTTTATCCTCTACATCTATCTATACCCGTATTGGAAATTTCGAGCTCGCTTACGCATCCATATTTTACCCAAACAAAATCTCGGTTCGCGTTTTATGAGAATACTGAGACATAACTCATAAAGTTCTTTTTGACCTTCATAATATCCACTTTTCACATATGGCCTATCTATGAGTAATATCCAGACTATTTTAAGGGCTATAAAGAAGAACTACCTATATCTAAAAATTGTCTGTATATCTTTCCAACCCTATCTAGAAGTGGTACCTAGAGCTCTCTAACACCTATCTAGGATTATTCTCTGACTTCGCTAAGACCTATCCATGAGTCGAACAACTCTTCAAAACTTTTCCAGGCATAGTCTCTCTATCTTCTCTAAGACTACATAGAGATGGTACTTATGCAGGACCATTTGTTATAATGTCGCTTAATCAAAACGAATCTGGAATAGCTTCATTTGTCCGTTAATATTTACTAGAAAAAATGTGGAAACCTCGGATTTAAATCCGAGAGTTATGTGTACTTCAAAAAGTGAATTAGGCAGATGAGCCATCCTAGAATGTGTGGACATCAACGTTATCCTGGCAAACCTTTTCTATAAACACTTCAATGCTATTGGCTACTGCTCAACCAATAGGATTTGGAAACGAATATAGATCAGATTTGAACTCTTCACCCTGATTTACCCTCAGAAAGTCGTTTTTCCTATAACTTGATTTCTATTGGTCACTGCTAAACCAATGCGATTTCGAAGCAAATGGATTACAGATTTGAGTTCTTCGCCCCAGAAAACCTCGAGGTACCATCTCTATAATAGGAAGATAGAGCTCTATTTATGGATCAATTAGAGCGTGAACATAAACAGAACCAATTTCTGTTTAATAATCTTTGCAATAGATGAGTTAGTCTTCTTGTTTCTGTATATTTTATATACCATTTTGTAGCTCATGAAATTCTCTATCGAATGGTATATAATAATTGGAGTTTTATTTGACTATGATAGGAACAGTTGTTAACGAAAGCGGGGAGGTGTCGATTTGCGCATAGGAAAGCATAGGGAAAAATGACGATTTTTGCAATAACTCAGCAATGGCTCGGCCAATCATTCTCATCTTTGAACTCGATCGAGATATTGTTGAGACTAAACTATGTAGAAAATTTCATCATGATCGGACTCTCCTTTCGAAAGTTATCGTGTAAACGGCCGGACGGACATACTGACCGATTCTAGAGTGTACTCACTTTTTGAGTACACAAAAAGATCAGAAGCCAATACTAGACTACTTACGTTAGTCTTACATGTAAACAAAGCGGTTGATATTTAAGATAATCTTTGGTTGTTTTTGTTTAACATTTGATTTGAAACTTAGCGATTAAGTGATGAAGCCTGAGGAATGAGATAAATATCATTTAATTTTGGAATTTTCCTTCGAGGAAAAGTATTTTCAGAAAACAGCGGTCAGTGGCGAATCCAGAAAATCAGTAAGGGCATGATGGTTAGTTGAAGGGGTGCCAGTTATGGTCATAAAACAGTTTTCGAAGCCTATCCCAGACAGTACAATCTTTTTTTTATCATGTTTCTTGATAAAAAACTTCTGAGAGGGAATGTCGGTCGCCGGACCGCCTAGTGCTAGATTCGCCAGTGACAGCGGCTTTCTATGAAATTTTATCACAGCCTATCTAGTCAGCGAACTTATTTCCTAGATATCTCTCCAATCAATCAAATTTCAGCATTGCATTGAATTAGTTGGTTAATCTAGGGTATACTGAATCTTAACCAGCTAATAGAAAGTTTCATAAAATCCGATTGCATCTGAGCATATTGTCGGGAAACGAAGTTCTCTGCCACGCAAGCTTTTGATCAAACTATATAGGAAATGCCCGCTCTCGAGAAAGGCCTTTCTGCAAGAAAAGTATTCAGAGTTAATCGTACTGATGTCATGTTAATTACTAGCTTAATACAATATGCATTAAGGAATTCATTAAAACTTACGTTAGTATTAACCAAGTATGTATTGGGTTGCTGATCCTTTTTCATAAATAACAACAGATAAACGATGTGCTTCCAGTTACATTTGAACTAAGTTCGGTTATAACAAACAGTCCATTCTCTACAATGAATGATAACGACCACTTCTACATAGGGCTTAGACAGGTATAGGTCCATCGTCGATGAGCCTTGAAGAGTTATAGGTATTATCTCCATATCGAGTTTAGAGAAGTAGAGAGATTATTTCTAGATAGGCCATATTGGGTGATAGGTACTACTCCTAAATAGGATTTAGAGATATATTGACACCACTAGGTACATCAGAAAAAAATACAGCTTTGATATCTAGATAGCTTGTTGAAAATGGTCCCGTGGATCATTATAAAATGTAGACTGAAATGTTTCAATAGAATCTGAACTAATGAAAAGTGAACTCGAGATTTTGAGTTTATACAATTTAGAATTCACTTTTTTATTTTTTTATTTTCCAGTTATGTGCTTCTCACGTGAATATAGCCAAAATATAATGTACGATATTTTGTTTAGTTTCAGTTAAAATGTCCACTTCATCGAATCCTGCTAACACGACAGTCGCACAATCCGTTTCCGATATTGTCCCGGTTGATGAATCAGTGTGCACCACTGAAACAACTATGAACAATGCCGTCAACGAGCGATTGACTTTTAAAACACCTCGTGCTCCACTTCATGTCTATTCATGTTTTGTTGTCAACAAAACTGCCCAACCAATCGAATGCACTCTTAAATATAATGGGCGCCCAGGTGAAGACAAATTTGATGAAGTAGTTAATGTCACTATATTTGGTGATTCAGAGCACTATTTTCCTCGACAATTTTTTCAGCCTGATCTACCCAAATCGTATTGCAAATGGGTCAAAATTATAACACATGTTCAAGTGAAGAAGGCGAATGGCAAAATATTAGAAATGAATTACCCATTCGATAATGTTCATCACCCTATTCGCAATTGGGAATTTCATGTAACAGACGATGGTGATATGCTTTCAAAACCACCAACACGTGTGGTCAATATACTGAAATATGAGAATCTCGATCAATATGAATGCTAAGAACATTGGTAGAAAAAGAACTAACCGTTTGTTACATCCTTTGTGCCTGCTTATTGCTCATAAAATATAATCTACTCTGTGTTTAAAAGTGACGTAATAACAAAGATTGAAAGATGTTTTCTAGACTTTTTACTTCAGTGTGGATGTATTTTGCGAAAGAATGATTTTTCAAGCTCTGTACGACATATTTCAACTATTGCTTACATAGTCATCATCATGTGAGCTCGAAATCAAATACTACATTAATATAACTAAATTTTTGTATATAGTATACCTTAGTATTAAAAGAAGAATCTTTATCCACTAAAAAGTAGTGTCAAACGAACCTTTTGAGGTTTCATTGAACTTTGATCAATGATAGAGACAGACACAAGTCAAAAAGCACCCGACTCGATTCAACTCAACATGTATCTTCAGAAGGTCCCACTCGACTAGTCGAGCTCCGATTCAAACAATGACTTTTCAAAATTATATTTTATCTGATAGCAAGAATAAATGACAGAATTTTCTTTTTACTATGCAGATTCATTTCATGGCGTCCATCTTTTTTTTGTGATTTTTTTGTAATATTATTTTGAAAGCTGACGAAATAAGTGACAGAGTTAACAAACTTTACAATAATGAGTCAAAAGAAAAAAAAAGTTTAGACTAGATTAACTGCTTGTTATTCTCAATGAAACGCAAGAAAAGCAAGTTATTGACCATTGAAGGAACAAGGTTTGTGACCCTTACCATCACCATCAATACTGATGATTTATTGGTCAAGTTCTTGAGGATCTATATCTCGATTAAAATCAAAACAATCAAAGACTTCAGAAATTCTATTCGTAACTAGAAAATGATTTTCTGAAGACTTTGATTGTTTTGATTTTAATCGAGGTATAGACCCTTAAGAACTTGATCAATCATCAGTATTATATGAATACTATTAGCGATAACAAAAATCATCTTTTGCATATATATTATAGAAGCAGGATGATAAAAAGATGAAGCCTTCGGTTAGACTGGGTACCACTATATAAGTAATATACAAATTTTGAATTATTTTGTAATTTTATTTGCATCATGAATTCGATCTGACTGAAATATTAGCTTGGCAATGAAATTCGAAATGAAGAATTGGTTAACCAAAAATAAGAATTATCATATTATATTAAAACCGATTGACTATGATTTACTTCGAAGATTTATTACAAAAAGTTGTTAGCGCAATCCCTACGGGATTAAAAATGTGAAACACGATAGAGCTGTTATATAGTTCGACGTTCAGCAGATAGTTTGTATGAAAGATATTATCATTTGATTCTATAGTATAAACTTATAGAAATGAACAAAAGAAATACTTCATATATTATGGAGTACTGTGTTTGTCATTTCAATGGTTTTTATAAAGTTCAACAGTTCAATTGCTTAATAAAAAACAAACAAGAAGATTATTATCGAATATATTTTAAACAATATGACTTTTAAGTTATATTTTGTCCTACATTTTCACATATACGATATCGTTATTTTGAAATGGAATGAGAAAAAAAATAATGACAAGAAAGATTGTGTAGTATGTTTTATTTATTTTTATGATATACACAATGCTTCTACTGAATACAAAGGACGGCGAACGTTTTACGTGCATTTCGGCCCACCAAGAAAATGAAGGCAGATTTACCTCAAACTTTCAGCAAATACTCAGCTATATACCAGTAGCCACTATACAAAATTTCAACTTGATCCGTTGAACTTTTCCTTTACTTTCACCACATCCTAAATGTACATATAAATACCACATAGGGGTTACCTTGTGGACCCTTGCTCTCGACTATATGATTCAGAACTGGAGTGATTTTTCTAGTATCACTAGAAATAAGTGAGGACTACAATATTGCCAGGACATGAGGTT